CCTTAGGTACGAGGATGACAATTTTGATCCAAGCCAAAATATATTATTTTAGTGTTTCATTTAAAACTATGCATATTTACTAATAAGAATAGCATAGTAAAGTTAATAGATTTAATAATGATGTTTTGCTTTCATGTTTTGTTTAATATTTGCGAAATCATCTTCCATATAGTTCCCGATGGTGCTTCCTTTACAGCACATTCTGTAATCACATTACTGATCTAATGAACATCTATCTCTTGTCGTAATAAACTCTCTTTGTATATAACCTCATTAACGTGCTGAAATAGTGTCCCCTCTGGGTATTCCAGACAGTTCCATTGTAGGTCTAAAATTAGATGCCCTAACAACTCTAATGGTGTGAAAACTGCCACTTCAGCTCAAATGATCACACATTTCTTGCAATGGTTTGCAATTCTTGAACACACTGTAACTGGTCTTGAAATGAAGGCATCTTTGACAACTGACTACAAAAATGCAGATTTGTAGTAACAGTACACTTCCTGTTTTACACCACATTAACCTTCAAATACATAGAGTATGTGCCACATAGAATTAAAGATGAGTATAATTTTACATTATGAGCCTGTTTACAGGAGACTGGCCAGAAAAATTAAGTGAAAAGTGACATAGAGTCTTCACCGCACAAAATCCTTGCCATGAGGCATTACTTTATTTTACAAACTCTAAGTGAAAAATAAATTTACAGTTCTGAGTGGTAGGCTGGCAAAAACTATAGCTTTAGCCCTTCAGTATATTATTTTAAGGTGTTGGCTTTTTTTTCATTGTTGAGCTATATGCTAGAAGCATAAATGGACAGCAGCCCAGAACATTAACTGCGTGGAGAAGCGATATTAACATTTCTACCTTATTTAAAGGCTGAATCCATAATTCTCTCTAAGACTGATAAAGTAAAAGGAAATGAAAGACAACTGGAGCTGTTTTATGTAATTGTGAAATATTAGGGGCAAATGTTTTCTTAAGGAGTTAGAACTCTAGTTTTCTGTGGGTTTCTCCTTCATTGAAAGAACAAAAACTTAAATAGATGCTGTCTTGCAAAACTATAAATACATTTCAAAGACTTGAAAGATGCTTCTTCATATCAAGTGTAAGTGTTATGATTAGAAAAATAATTAGAACATTATTCCACCTGGCCAAGAATTGGACCATCCACCTATATTTTTCTGTCTAGCAACATGATTCTAGCTTTTCTGTTCTTGTTTGAAATGAGAAAGTATTTACTTGAAAATCTGGTTTTCATTTCTTGGTTTTCTATCTTTATAGGGATTTATTAGACTTTCAGTCATTGCTTTTGTTTACACCAACATTTTTCTTCACACTTCTTATTCTTTATTTCTATTTATGAAAGTACTTATACAGACTGGCAGCCAATGTTAAATTTCAGGGTACCAACATAGGCCCATCTAAATCTCTATCTGTCATTAGTGATACAGCATGATGGTTAGAGTTATAGAGAAAAATGCAGATGCAGACGTAATCATATAGGGATATCTTTTGCTGAGATTTTCTCTTCCAACTTAACTATTGACAAATTAGACTATAGATCAATGATTCCCACCCCCTCCAGAGTAAATCCTGTCTGTCTTACTCCAGTCTTGTTTTCTCTTTCTTCTTCCAAAACCTATGCTGTTATCTTTTTACCCCGCCATTTTCTAGGATGGCAGCAACTCAGTGCTCAAACTCTATATGACACAGGAGCTCAAAGGGACTCTGGTGGAGTAGAGGAGCAGAAGCGCTTGAAATACAGCAGGAGTTGAAGAGATTTGTAGGCATTTGTGATTGAATAGGTTGATGCCATGGTTGACAAGGTCTGTGAACCCTAGAGTGATACTAGTGACTAAGTTTGAAGGATGGTAACTGACAACTATCCTGTAAAGGGTGAGGGTATCTGAGGACAAGATACAATGGAGGAAGAGATTTAGGATCTTTCTCTCAATTCTCACTGAGAAAAGGAACAGCAGCAACACCAGTAAAATGATGGGAACGTAGCATGGTTAGGTTGCATGAGTTTGGAGGGGAGGCCCTACCAGTGAGACTTGCTAGGGTCAAGCTGTGATCTCTGTGGAGAGGAGATAACAGGGCAATATCACCCTGGCTTTTGCGGTGCTGAAAGAGCAAGGCAGTGAAGGAGGCAGCAGGCAGGAAGTGTGAGCTCAGACACATCCTGCTGCTGCTTTCTTTTCTGCTGAGGGAAGGAATGCCTGGGGGAAGTAAGTAAAGCCATTGACCAGAGTCCAGCCCCTCCTCACCTAAGCTGAAATGTCCACTGTCTTGCTAACTGGAACTGCTGAAGACAACTTTGTGGTGACAGCCTGCTCTTTGGATTCCTGGGTTTCAGCAGGCTGAACTTCCTTATTTGGTTCATTGAAAGTGGTGTGGTCACTGGAAGAACTGTAAAGGCTACTGTGCTTCATGTATTTCTTTATGCATGACTGTTGTAGGGGGAGTCCTCTGCAAAGACCAGCCAGCACCTTTCCTCTCCTCATGAGGTCTGATGTTCAGTGAGCATCTTGGAAAAGCACCTTGGGAACAATCTCGATTTTTTTTAAAGTATGGCTACTGTGTTTATTTTTATTAATTACTTATGGGATTTTGTGCTCTTGCTTTTAGAGACCAGGAAACTAGCCTCCATTGCAGTACTAGAGAGAATAAATATCTGTTCAAATGTACACTCAATTTTTTTGGAGTTAGCAAGCAAACAACGTTTAAAAACTGAGTATAGTTCATACCCTCTGACTTTTTTAGGGAGTGATTGATATGACTGTCTACACTTATCTGGTAACAAACTCTTAAGTTATATTGCTGCTTTTAAAAGGGGTAGGAGAGAGAATTTAAGTAGTTTAATTTTTTCTTCCTTTAATTAATAGCATTCTTTTTTAGTAAAGGTCAGATCAGAGCCTTCAGCAAGATCAGTGGAATTTCTTTTTGGCTTGATAAGGATTGAAGATATAAATAGACAAGCTATAAAGTTTGTTACTGTTCGTAGTTTTTCCTCTTTTTAGCCTTATTTTTTATGTTGATTAAGTTATTAGATAATTCTGGATTTTGGAAAAGAAACAATCAAGTTATGTAGCTTTTAGATTGGAATGAAGAAAAACCATGTGGTTAAACCATGAAAGAGAAATGGCTAGTGTAGTCCTCTCACTTGCATAGCATTAGGTGAAATAAAATGTGATATGTCTTAAGGCAATGTACTCAGAGCTTATATCTCAGTTCAGTCTGAGAGGACTTTATGAAGTCCAGCTTTATGAATCTGATGGAAAATTGGATCTTATTTGCATGCAGTTTTCTAGGGAATTGCTGCTTAGATATTTGAGGAGCATATGTCTGATGATATATTCCCAAATTACTTTAAAATAACAGTATAGATTTTCCTTAAAATGAAAAATCTTGGAAAGTTTATACTTCAGATTAAATGAATGTTTGTCATTGAAATGGTTGTGCGTAAGTGAGAGCCTCACATATAGACCGTATCTATTATTCTGCAGTCTTGTAAGGAGAGGTGACATAAATTGCTTTTTATTGTCAGTAAGGATAATCTGCTAACAGTATTTTAATCTATCTTTTTTGTGGTCAAATATATTTTTTGAATTGTATAACTGAGTAGGAGAAAAGAGAGCTTTTTACTCTTGTGTACATTATTGGTAAGACCATCACTGGTATATTGTGTTCAGTTGATAGGTTAGAAGGGCAGAAAAGCTATTTTAATCCCTTAGTCTAATATATAACAGAAGACATAGGAGTTTCCTAAATTAATTCCTCATTACAGCAAAGCTTTTTTTTTGGTAGGAAAAACCCTCTGTGATATATAAACTGCCTGTGATAGAGAATATTCCTCAACTCTATGGAAGTTGTTTCAGTGGTTAATTGCCCTTATTAAAGAAAGACAGAAAAAGGGAAATCAAAGTACAGCTTCCTTCTAATCTGAATTGCTTTAGATAAAGTTTTGAGCCATTTTCTCTTGCCAGTCATTTTTCGGGTAGAGGAATTAAACTATCATCAGCATTCTGTTTCTCACGTGAAGCCAAAAGACTATGATCAAGCACCCTTTAACCTTCCCTTTGATAAGCTCTATAGATTGAATTCCTTCAGTCTTTCCCTGTTAGATAGATTCTCCAGCATTTATCATCCTTTTGCCTGTTCCTAAGAAACCGCTATGATTTTTTTCAGTGTATTTCTTCAACTTCATGCAGCAGAACTGTGTTCCTGTTGTGGTTCCAACAGTGTCAAATACAAGCATTATACAGTTTGTCTACTTGTAATTTCCAGTCTGTACTTTCAAAAAAGATATAAATCATTTAGATAGTTGTGTCATACTGCCAGAAGCTCAGGTGAAGATGATCATTAGCAATGTCCCCAAATCTTCTATAATTTTGCGTCCCAGGAGAATTTCCCTCATCCCATTGCTAGGACTTGTTCTGATGTCCGCTCTTCAACGGAATGTACAAAAGCCAGAATTCAGAAAAGAACTTCAAAAATATTTAAAATCTGTGAAACACACCTCTTAATGTGACTAGGCTATAATCCATTAAAAGCTAGATAACCTGTACTCCACCTCAACCAGAAACCATAGACTTGATTTAGAGATAATTAAATGAAGTTTTATGGTGTGCATTATGCAGAAGATTAGACATCATTACCATAATGATATTTTCTGATCGTAATACTTCTATTTAAAGCAAAATGTACTGTCCTAAAATAACTGAGTTGGGGGCAATATTTTCAGTGCTTTTATGATGTCACCATAGATAGCCTATTTGATTTAATCATAGTGGAGACATTCATATGCCGCTGCTTAAGAACAGATATATTTTAATTATATTGTAATTATTTTATTAGGGTCAGTTTAATTGAATTATTAGTCAACAACTAAAAATCATTCTTTCCTGCTACAGTGCAAATGTTAATAGTCTTCCCAATCCCCAGTGATATAGAATTTTGTGAAGTTTGAATTTTGTTTTTTGTTTGTTCGTTTTTAGCTTCCCAGTGAAGATATTGAAATATTCCAGAATGCATCACAGTGCTTATCATTACTGGTTCAGTTGTATGGAGGGAGCAGTCAGGAGAGCATGTCTCCAGAAAACATGGACAGCTTTGCTGAAGTATTGAAGTCCAAAAAAGATTCAAGACAACTGAAGCTGTTGTTGAGAATTATAAAGAGACTGGTGAGTCAGCTTCTAAATGTTTTAAAAGTCTATGTAGGTTTTTATGTCTTTGGTTTCTGTATTTAAAACCTCTTATAAAAAGATTATGGGATGTTTCCTATTTCAGTTAACCATTCCACAATCTAAATGGCTCAGATTATATGTATATTTGTTTAGTACTTTGGCTTTTTGAATTATTGGAACAATTTTTTGAATGCCTTCCAAAAGAACTAACCTTGTAGCATTATGTAGCTTCTCAGAAACATAGTGCTTGATTTCATGGTAAGTAAATACAATTTTGTACTTGAAATAGGCTTGTACATAGATTATTGACTCTTCATTCTCTCAAAGTGGTAAGAACTATGTATGGTAGAATGGTTGTAACAGATTGTCAATCAATAGGAGTCATACAGGGCCTTAGTCTGATGACAAGTTATTGCCATCTAGGAATTTCAGTTCTGTCATGCTTTGTCATGGTGGCATGATTGCAGCATTGCTTCTCTGAAGTAGATTAGCAAGAAAACGTTCTGTGTCTATAACATTCTTTTAGATAATGCCATGCTTTTTATCATGAACTCTCTTGAAAAGAAGCTTTGCCTGCATTGTCAGCATGCTTTGATTGATTGTTCCATCCTTCACTGTACTCCCCAAGAAAGGGAGTACTCAATTAAAAAAAAGGGTAACTTCCCCAGGGTCAGCAGGAGAAGAGGCATGAATTTTGCAAGTGCAGTGCTGGCTATTAGAGTAAGGCTATAATCAATGCAGGAATCATCCTACTTACGGAGTTAAGAGGAAGCAACCCTATTGTAAAGTCTCCAGAGCTGTTCTGTCCTTTTTCTCCCATCCACTGGATGTGCATCACAAGAAAATAAACACAATACTCTCCTTCCCAGTTTTGCTCAGTCTTGCCTTTACCTACAAGAAGCATGACTATATAAAATTAAAATTGATAGGCCCCAATGATGTTGAAAATTGATAATTTCTCTCATTCTTGACATCTCAGGTTTCACTCCTCCTCTTTATTTTCACATGATTTTCTTGAAAAGGGAATTCTAGCAAAAATTTTAAGCAACTTCCTATTGCTTCTTGCTAGTGCCTGTGCTGCTTTCTCTGTGTAGTTGTTGTGCAGGGAAGAGCTGTTTTTTGCTTTCCCACAGAAGCAATAAGAATAAAGAGGCAGCAAAGTATGAGGAACGGAGAGTGAAAAGAGAGTGCAATGCATTTCTAGATAGTTCCATTTTAGCATAGTGACTGACTGCTTTCCTTTCCCTCTTTTTTGATGACTGTTATTTAAAAGTTGTCCTAGGGCACAGGATATTTAACACAGAAATTTCTGTTGATTATCCTAGGAGAACAAAGCTATTCTATCACCTTTTGAACCTTGCGAGTTCCTGTACTTCATGATCTTTCCTTTTGTATACCAGTGATGCTGGTACTTGCTATTTATTATATCAGGCAAAGATTTTCTGTAATTGTTTTAATGAGATCACAGGATTTCTTTTGAAAGCAGGGTTTATAGATAATTTGACAGATTATATATATAAAATAAATCTTGCATTATTTCTCTGAACCTTAACAAGTCCTATTCACAGGAGATGATTATCTTGTCAAAATTGTAGTAATCACAAAAGACATTGAAATATAATCCTTTCTATTTAAGAAGGATTCAGCCTACATCAGCTGTTCGTGCTGAATTTTGAAACCTAGAGCAAACCCAAAATGTTGCTCAAATATGAAAAAATTTGAATAGAGGAGTCACTAAGTTCACCAGTTTCCATTCTTGCTGGTCAATGCTTGTATATAACATCTTTCCGATCTATGATCATGTTAACAGTAATGCATCAGCCAGGGCTACTGCTTATATAAGACAAGAATATAAAGAAAAAAATTGAATGTATCTACTCTATAGCTGCGTCTATTATCATATATTCCCAAAAATAAGGAAAAGGCGTAACATTATGACTTGATAGCACTTTATCCAAGTGCTCCAGATGTCTCCAGTGGATCTTTAACCTCAGTTTCAGAATATTTGGTTTAAAACACATCAGAGAAATTGTCGACTTACAAGATGGCCTTTCCTTGATGAAATGGAAACTTACATCTACGTGTTATTTTAATTTAATCGTATTCATTAAGTGTTTTCTCCTGTACCTAAATAGTTGGGAATTTTTAGACAGAGTTGAAGGTAGGCTTTTTTGTTTTTGTTTTTTGTTTTTGAAGTGCTGATTTCTCATTATCAACTTTGACCAGCAAATTGACTACAGGGCAATATAAACTCCTCCTTATACCACTTTCTTCACTGATTTTTGCACTGTAATTCTGTTGTGTTCTGTATTTAGTATTTTGTTAAACAGAAATTAAGATATAGGCCAAACTGGAGGAAAATAAATGTTAATACAGACTTAGTATTGGAATCTCCATGAACAGCCCCTTCTTCATGGCTTTATTTTGCTGTAAACAGAGAGCATTAGGAGTGAAAAGCAGAAAAAATAATGCTTTAAGCTCACATTTATAACTCTATAACTAAGGGTGATTTAAAAGCTTTAAAGAGACAGCATTGAATGTCTTCTTTCTGTTTTTTGTAATCTCCCCTTAACTTTCAAAACTTTTGACTCTGTCAGGCCCAGGTTAACCAGTATATTTCAGGGGTTATCTCTCATTGTCAGTGCACAGAAACTGAATAAAAATACTGAATCAAAGAAGCACTTTTTTTGTTGTTGTTCCATGAGCCCTTTTACTAACTCTCTTGTTCCGATTGCTTCATCTTGGAATAGAAGTAATGCTATTCAGATATCCTTGGTATATCCTTCAGATATCCCTTTTAGCAGCATCTCTGTAACCGATCAGTGATGTCAGGAGAGTGATCTTATTCCATATACTGGTTCCAGAAGCATCTCTTGCCACTCTTCGTGAAGATCACCCTCTTATGACTTCCTCTTTTCTGTGAAGACATAGTGTATCATGCTGCAGTCCATAAATCATCTATATTAAAGTGTTTTTTTGAGAAATGGAAGAGATTTCATTTGGGAAGCAAGTTTTTCATGCCCCTCAAAAAAATATACCTACCATCTCAATTTAATATCTAGTATATAATGCCATTGTTTTTAGGCAAGTGATTTTCACCAGAATTTTTATAGAACTAGCCAACATCTTTTTGCTGGACACGTAATCACTGCAGGGTTACAGCTTGGTACCAACAAATAAAATGTTTTCAGCTTTCAAAACAAGGGGAGACTCTCCTTTAGTCCATCTGTTAGTAAGGAAAAATTTGGCTGAGAAGAATGAATAAGCATCAGGCTTTAACAGACAATTCTGTGCTTACTATATCCAAAGACCTTTGTTCAATGACTCTCATTTTGATTATATAGCGTGTACTAACTGTCAAAAAGTAGTTTAGCCTTTATTCTGAGTGATTAAGACATTCAGGAAATTGTCTAGACTTCTGATACCCTATGTGGATCCCTATAAAGATTTCCCAAACTATGTTAAGCTGTGTAGTAAGGTGCTAATGTTAGCATGGCAGTGCTTGAGCTACGGCAAAGCCCTTAACTTGCGTTGATTTCATCGTAGGAGCATTGGGCAATGATTTGCTCTCTCCCTGCCAGCTTGGGTGACAAAAACGCCACCTTTCAGTCCCGCGAGCAGATTCACTGCCTGTTTCCAGCAAACCACAGCCTGGGAACCAGTGGTCACTATGGCTAAAACATCATTCATGTCGTGCCTCTGTAAATATTTCTGTGATATAGATTAGTGTTAATATCATCTTGAGTTTCATACAGAGATTTGCTGAGTTCACATCTTATGAATTGACATTTGTGTATTTGTATATTTAAAAAATATATATATACCCATATACACTGTATATATTTTGACTGTAGTAGTTCCCAGAACCCAGATCAGGTCCTCTTTATGTTAGCTACTGAGTGCGCATATTGAACACAGACATTTGGAGCTTGAAGAGATTTGCAGTCTAAATCAAATGCTTGATTTAGGAGAGCAATTTTGCTATCCCTCTGTAAGTCAAACTCTTTACTAGAGGTTTGCTCCTCAGTAGATTCCTACATGTTTGACTGTACGGAGCTTGCCTCAAAGAAGCGAAAACATTCATTTGCAAAAATCACACGGTGATTTTTCAGGTACCGTTGCTTTTGCAGCTTCAGCTCTGAACGTTCAGCGCCACAAGGAGGTGCTTTTGCAGCAATTCCCAGCAGAATCTGCTTCTCCAGAAGTTTGGTAAAGCTAAGTGGGACCTGTTGGCATATCTCCTGCCATGACAGTACAGTTCTCTCAAAAAGTAGGAGAAAAACTTTGTGTGGGTCTCGTTCCTAATCGGAATCTTTTAAGTATGCCTTTAATAAAATTAATCTATTACTAAAGTAATCCGTTATATTCCTTTGTTTGAAGGAATAATTTTATAGCAGCGATCTGTGTTAGACTGTGCATGCGATATTCACTTGTGGGTTGCTGACGTGTATAGGTATACTTATTATAAATGCACCTGTTGCATTCCCTTAAATTATATATCTTTTAAAATGTGGATGATTCTTATGCAAAAAAAAGTCTATCCTTTGTTAGTATGTCTTTTATTTTCAAGCTGTTACCAAGCCTGCTTCTCTTCTTTAAAGGCCATCTTTTGTTGACTTCAGCCCGTAATAGAATATCTTTTGGTAGGGTGAAGCATTTTATTAGATATAAACAACTAATGATTCTTCCAAGAAGAAAAATCTGATCAACGTAGCAATACTTTGCGCGTATCGTACACAGGACGGGTTTCTCAAAATATTTTCTTTGAAGCAAACATATGAAAAGTATAATGCCACTTCTTTATTCCTTCGCTATTGTGCCGAGAAGCTCGCTCTGCTTATAAACTCCACATAGGCCTCTGTGTAATAGGTATGGACAGGTTTTAATGAAATTTGAGAGAGTCTCTCGAGATCACAGATAGGGAGGCCTTTAGCACCCGGCCGTTGCTTAGCAACCTTAAGCCATTACATTTCCAGGCTCTGTAATAACCTGACACA